TATATGCACAAGCCCATTCTTCTTAATTTTTAAAGAAATGAGATCATAATGTTATTGTTCTAACCTACTTTCTTTCTTTTTTCTTTTTTTTTTTTGAGACGCAGTCTTGCTCTGTTGCCCAGGCTGGAGTACAGTGACATGATCTTGGCTGACTGCAACTTCCGCCTCTGGAGTTCAAGTGATTCTCCTGCCTCAGTCTCCCAAGCAGCTGGAACTATAGGCATGCACCAGCTAATTTTTGTGTTTTTAGTAGAGACAGGGTTTCACCATATTAGCCAGGCTGGTCTTCAAGTCCTGATCTTGTGATCCACCCGCCTTGGCCTTCCAAAGCACTGGGATTATAGGCAGGAGCCACCATGCCTGGCCACATGTACTTTCTTTAACATGTCATAAACATCTTCCAGGGCCAGTTCATAAAAAGCTGTACCACTGTTTTTAATAGTTAATTAGGATTTCATTGAACAACTGTCTTATTCCCTATTGAATTTTTTTTTGGGGGGAAACAGAGTCTTACTCTGTTGCCCAGGCTGGAGGGCAGTGGTGTGATCTTGCCTCACTGCAACCTCCATCTCCTAGGTTCAAGTGATTCTCCTGCCTCAGCCTCCCAAGTAGCTGAGATTACAGGCATGTGCCACCACACCAAGCTAATTTTTGTTGGTTTTCTTTCTTTTTTTTTTTTTTTTTTGAGACAGAGTCTCACTCTGTGCCCAAGCTGGAGTGCAGTGACACAATCTCAGCTCACTGCAACCTGTGCCTCCTGGATTTAAGAGATTCTCCTGCCTCAGCCTCCTGAATAGCTGGGATTATAGGCACGTGCCACTATGCCTAGTTAATTTTTTTGTATTTTTATTAGAGACAGGGTTTCACCATGTTGGCCAGGCTGGTCTCAAACTCCTGACCTCAAATGATCTGCCTCCATGGCCTCCCAAAGTGCTGGGATTACAGGCATGAGCCACTACTCCTGGCCATTTTTTTTTCCATATATTTAGTAGAAACAGGGTTTCACCATGTTGGTCAGGCTGGTCTCGAACTCCTGGCCACAGGAGATCATCCCACCTCAGCTTCCCAAGTGGCTTGGATTGCATACATGAGCCCACCACACCCAGCTTTGTTTGTTTTGAACCCAAACTTTTGCTATAGTACACACTGCTGAAACATCGTTGTTTTTGTTGGATAGGGTCCTAGAAGTGGCATTGCCCAAAGAGTTTGCATTTTTTACATATTAATAGGAATTGCAAATTACTCTCGAAAAATGGAATAATTTACAGTCCAAACATACCTTCATCAATACCAAATGTTACAAATCTAAGAGACAACAGAGGAAAGAGAAAGGAACGGCCGGGCGCGGTGGCTCATGCTTGTAATCCCAGCACTTTGGGAGGCTGAGGCGGGTGGATCACGAGGTCAAGAGATCGAGACCATCCTGGTCAACATGGTGAAACCCTGTCTCTAATAAAAATACAAAAAATTAGCTGGGCACAGTAGCGCGTGCCTGTAATCCCAGCTACTCAGCCTCCTGAGGCAGGAGAATTGCCTGAACCCAGGAGGTGGAGGTTGCGGTGAGCTGAGATCGCACCATTGCACTCCAGCCTGGGTAACAAGAGCGAAACTTCGTCTCAAAAAAAAAAAAAAAAGAATCTACTGTTTTACTTTGGTTTCTTCAACTATTAATGAAGTTAAGCTTTCTTCACATGCTCTTTTTCACGTTTATCATCCATTTGAATTTCTTCTGTGAATTCCCTGTTCACATTCTTTGTTCAGTTTTCTTTTTCTCTTCTTTTTTGTTTGGTTTTTGTTGTTTTTGTTTTTCCTCACTCTTTCCCCTTACTCTTTGTTCATTTTTCTATCAGGTTGTTTGGAATTTATATTGATTTGTAGAAGCTCTTTGAACATTATAACATTAGCCCTTTGTCTCTCTATTGTGTAGCAAATATTGTTTCTTAATCTGTGGCTAATCTTTTAACTCGGTAAATGTCACTTTTCCCAGTAATTGCAACAGTAATAATAGTAATAGCTGACCTTTACTGAGCACTTACAACATGTTGGACACCATTCTAAATGCTTTACCTGGATTGTCTCATCAAATTCTTACCTTATGAGGTTTGAACTATTAATATCATTATCTCCATTAGGGACCAGGCAAAGTGGCTCATGCCTGTAATCCCAGCACTTTGGGAGGCCAAGGCAGGAGGATCATTTGAGGTCAGGAGTTCGAGAGCAGCCTGGCCAACGTGGAGAAACCCCATCTCTAGTAAAAATGAAAAAAAATTAGCCAGATGTGGTGGCACGAGCCTGGTGGCACATGCATGTAGTCCCAGCTACTTGGGAGGCTGAGGTAAGAGAATCACTTGAGCCCAGGAGGCGGAGGTTTCAGTGAGCCAAGATCACACTACTGCACTCCAGCCTGGGTGACAGAGGGAGACTTTGTCTAAAAAAAATATTAGCCAGGTATGGTGGTGGGCTCTTGTAATCCCAACTACTAAGGAGGATGAAGCACGAGAATTGCTTCAGGAGGAGCAAAGTTGCAGTGAGCTGAGATTGAGCCACTGCACTCACTCAAGCCTGGGCGATAAAACAAGACTCTGTCTCAAAAAAAAAAAAAAAAAAAGACTCAAAAAGGTTAAGTAACCAGGGTGGGGTCTCCTGCTTACTAGCTGAACCAGAATTAGAACACTGGCAGTATTGGAATACTTCTGATTCTACAGAAGTTTTAAATATTTAAGTCATCAAACCCATCCAGGTTTTGGGTTTCTTTACCTTCTGGGTTTCATTAGGGAGATAGTCTTCAATATAAGATGATAAAAATATTCTATTTTTCCTGTAGTTTTATTTTAATGTTAAATTCTTTAATCTATCTGGAGTTTATTTTCAGATGAATGAAATAGACATTTGGTTTTCTTTCCTTCCAAATGGGTTGCCAGACGTCCCAACAACAGTTTTTTGAATAATGCATCCATTTTCCTCTGATACAAATGCCATCTCTATCATATATACAATTCTCATACATTTCTCTATTTTCATTTTTACATTTTTAACTTGTGTCTAATTACTTCATTGGTTAGGATTTCTATCCATGTCATACAATCTGCAACTACTGATTCCTTTGCTTTCCAACACATATAACACTTTTTCCATTTTCTTGTCTTTTGAGTCAGTCAGACTGTTCTGAACTGTGTGGGATAAGAGTAGAGATAATGATCTTTCCTTTCCAAAGCCTGCCTTTAATGGGAGTAACTTAGCCCGTTACTACTATATTTTGTATGATTTTTTTGTTTGTTTGTTATCTTGTTTAAAAAGTTTCCTAGCTGGGTGCAATGGCTCATGCCTATAATCCCAGCACTTTGGGAGGTCAAGTGGGCAGATCCCTTGAGGCCAGGAGTTTAAGCCAGTCTGGCCAACATGGTGAAACCCCATCTCTACTAAAAATAGAAAAATTAGTCAGGTGTGGTAGCACGCACCGGTAGTCCCAGCTACTCAGAGCCCGAGGCATGAGAATTGCTTGAACCTGGGAGGCAGAGGTTGCTGATTCGAGACCATACCACTGCACTCCAGCCTGGGTGACAAAGCAAGACTCCCTTTCAAAAGAAAAAAGAAGTTTTCCCTTTTTTTTTTGGAGACAGAGTCTTGCTCTTTCACCAGGCTGGAGTGCAGTGGCACGATCTTGGCTCATTGCAACCTCTTCCTCCCGGATTCAAGCGATTCCCCTGCCTCAGCCTCCTGAGTAGCTGGGACTACCGGCACCTGCCACCTTGCCCAGCTAATTTTTTTGTATTTTAGTAGAGACGGGGTTTCACCATGTTAGTCAGGATGGTCTCGATCTCCTGACCTTGTGATCTGCCCACCTTGGCCTCCCAAAGTGCTAGGATTACAGGTGTGAGCCACCGCACCTGGCCTCCCCTTCATTTTTTAAAAAAATTAGATCAGAGTGACTGCCCGGTGCAGTGGCTCACACTTGTAATTCCAGCACTTTGGGAGGATGAGTCGGGCTAATCACCTGAAGTCAGGAGTTCGAGACCAGCCCGACCAACATGGAGAAACCCTGCCTCTATTAAAAATACAAAATCAGCTGGGTGTGGTGGCACATGCCTGTAATTCCAGCTACTCAGGAACCTGAGGCAGGAGAATCACTTGAACCCAGGAGGCAGAGGTTGTGGTGAGCCAAGATCACCCTATTGCACTCCAGCCTGGGTGACAAGAACGAAACTCTGTCTCAAATAATAATAATAATAATAATAAATCAGAGTGACTACTGAATTTTATCAATGGCTCTCCACATGTGATAATATATTGTTAAAACCATACTGGCTTTTCCCCTTTAAGCTATTAGAACTCTAACACTTTTTAAGGCTTTAAGCTCTTACCAGTTAATATACAGATAATTCTTGGAGTGTTAACACTTACAGCTGTCAACAGCTGTTTCTCCTCAGTCTGGCTGATGATGCAGAAAATCAGAGGGGTCATAAGAATTCAAGGCAAGTAGAGCCTCAACCCTTCGAGGCTGTTTCTTACCTGCGAGCAGATCGCAGGAGCAGGTGAAAATAGACAACTGCACTTTCCCCTTTTGGACCCTGCTCCGGTGGTTTGCAGCCTGGAAAAACTGTTCCATCCCTTTTAATCTTGCTCCCTCAATCCCTGCTCTTGAAAATCCTATCCATTTTTAAACACTCAAATTAAATGCCACCTTCTCCCACTGAGTCTTCCCAGATCCCCTAGATGTCCCCCCAAATCCCTACTCCTTAATGCCACATCGTTTGATATGAAAACCCACCGTGGCAGGAATCACTTAACTGTCCCTTGTACAACCACCTTTGGTGCATGTGCGTTTCTCTCTGTAGCCCCAGCACCTGCAAGTGTGTCTGGCATAAAGTGGGTGCTCCTTCCATGCTGAAAGAAAGACTGACAGAAGAGAGGTGTGCTCCATCTAGCCCTTCCCTCCAAGGCCCTGCAGGGCGGACTCCACCTCGGCAGAGGGCATCCCAGACCCCTCTAGAGCCCCGGAAGCCGAATTGCCTGCCATGGGAAGACTACACTTCCCAGCGATCCCAGGGAAAAGCGAAAACCCTTTGGCTTTGACAGCCGCCGCCACAAGTCTTTCCGCCTCCCCAGCCCGCCCGGGAGCTGCGAGCCGTGAGCTGGATTATGGTGGCCTGAGCAGCCAACGCAGCCGCAGGAGCCCGGAGTCCCTGCCCCTGTCCGCGCCGCCGCCCGCCGGGGGGACCCGGCAAGCCGCCGCCGGCCCGCCATGCCCGCCCCTCCCAGCCCCGCCGGGAGCCCGCGCCCGCTGCCGAGGCTGGCGGCTGCCGTGCCGATGTAGTGGGCTCCGGATCCCAGCCTCTCCCCTTCTCCCGTGCTCTGCGGATCTCTCCTACCCGCTCTCCACCGCCCGGACCCGGGGGTTGGCCCAGGGCCCTGCAGGCTCTGGCGTCCTGATGCCCCCAAGCTCCCTCTCCTGAGAAGCCACCACCACCACCAGCACCACCCAGACTTGGGGACAGGCGCCAGGGACGGACGTGGAGCAGTGCGAGCCCAGAGGGCCCGAAGGCCGGGGCCCACGATGGCTCAAGCCCTGCCCTGGCTCCTGCTGTGGATGGGCGCGGGAGTGCTGCCTGCCCACGGCACCCAGCACGGCATCCGGCTGCCCCTGCGCAGTGGCCTGGGGGGCGCCCCCCTGGGGCTGCGGCTGCCCCGGGAGACCGACGAGGAGCCCGAGGAGCCTGGCCGGAGGGGCAGCTTTGTGGAGATGGTGGACAACCTGAGGGGCAAGTCGGGGCAGGGCTACTACGTGGAGATGACCGTGGGCAGCCCCCCGCAGACGGTAAGGTGGTCAGGCCAGCCCTAGCCCTCCCCCTGCATGAGCAGCGGGAGACAGGATGGGGATGCCGCAGGCTGGCCCCTGCTCAAAAGGGCTGGTGGGAACAGCAGGAAGGACCCCTCCCCAACCATTTCCCGGGGGTCACGTGGCTGTTGGCAGGAGTGTTCCCAAGCTCCCCTTTCCGTCCCCTTCTCCCCTCACTGGCTGCCTAGTTCCCCTTGCTCCTCATCTGACACATATGCCCTCAGGAAGGATTTGGGGCAGGAGAGACACATCAGCTGCGGAGGCTGACCTGGGTTAAGGGTCCGCCACAAGGGCACTATAACAGGTGTCAGCCCCCTCCGACAGTGGCCCAGACTGAGTCTCCCAAATCCCACCACTCTTGGCCAATGCCACCCAACCTTGTCCCCTCCTCTGATGTTCCCACCATTGTTCCCAGCACCTCTGGGACCAAGGAATCCTGGCAGCAGCTGGATCAGCCCCTTGCTCCCACCATCTGGGCTGACACAGGGACCCTCAAAGTGAGGTTGCTGAGGCTCCCGTGACTGCACTCAGTCCGGAAGACCTGAACAGGCTCCTGCTGTCCCCTCCTCCTCCCCTTCCCCCTATGGCGGTCTACACTGCAGCCCCTCCCCCACTCCACACCTCCCCAGGCCGAGGGGAACTGAACTGAACCTGGGGAAAGGACAAATGGTAGGAAAGGAGCCAGAGCTCCCTTCTAAGAGTGGGATTCCTTCCATGGCAGGGAAGAGGAGAGGCATGGCAGTGATAGAGAAAGCACTGCCTGCTCTCCCCATCCTTCCTGACAATCTCCAAGTTACCTTCAAGGTGGCTGGTGAAGGTGGTGCCCTCTGCACCTCTGTGGGTGAGCAGCCCTCCATGTGGGGTGCTGTGGCTAACCTCTGTGCGTATCTGCCGCCTCTGCTGGGGAGTCCAGGCCCAGCGGCACTATGGTTCTGTATATGCTGGTGCGTGTCACCTTGAATCTGATCCTGCCCATCTCTGTGAGCCACCCCCAGATCTGTGTCTGGGAAGCCTGTCCTTGGGAGGGTCTGTGAAGGTGGGAGTGTGTTTGGAGTGGGCACAGGGGACAGCCACACTTTCCTGAACTTCTCAGACAGCTGGATCTGGGAGAAACACAAACCCCCACCTCCCAGTTAGCGTGCAGAAGCCATCCTTCCTAAGTGCATGCTCCCAAGCCCTACTCTCAGCTAGCTGAAGGTCTGGTCTCCCCCACTTTCTCCTCCTCTTTCCTGTGCACCATAACTTCCCAGAAGTAGCCTCCAATGGGAAGTAGAGGGGCAGGACACAGCCTGAATCTAGGCCCTGAGTAAACAGAATGCTAGAAGATACTGTCAGGAAGCAGGGGATATGTGGAGACCTGGGACCCACTCCTGTTTCTGCTACTGATGTGCTGTGCAAACTGTGCACAGACCCCATGGCATGATGCAGGATGGGGCTGCAGAACCTGCGCGAACTTTGAGGTCAGACAGTCAGACAGTCCAGGAATCCCAGTTCTACCCGCCGCAGCTTTTCCTCTTCTCAGCTGTGTGGCCTTGGGCAAATTGCATAACCTCTCTGAAACTACTGCCACGTCTTTAAAATGAGTGAAACGAGATCTCTTTTGCAAGGTAATTGTGAGGACTAAATTGTGAGGGTTAATTGTTCTCTCTCTTAATTGTTCTGCTTTCACCCAGAACAACACACCTGCACACAAAACGGACCTCCGACAAATATGAAGTCACTTTCTCCTTGTCTGGCCTGTTTTGCCTCTTCCATGCTATGCAATGAGGCATAAAAACTTGGATGTCCTCGGCCTCCACGTTTTACATGTTTAAAACTGGGGTATCCATTACAGTACTTCCCCGATCTCCTGAAATAATGCATACATCCTGCAGTCAAGTCTTAGCAGAGAGTAATTGCTCAATAAATGTCAGTTCCTTCCTCGCTCCTTTCTAGAAGAGGAAAGTGGGCTTTAAAGTTCAGCACCAGCCCTAGAAGCTAGTGCCAAGGAGCCCACAGCTAAAGCAACTGTGCGGCTCGCACTACCGTTTCTAACTAAGCCTACATCAGCCAATCTCTGCCCTCTGCTGGCTTGGACTCTCTCCCCATCTGTCTGTAAGAAGGATGCCCTTTCTCCCTACCTGCCACGGCTGTCATAAGTGCCAAATGAAAACTTGGATGGCATTGTATACTAAGCAAGTAAAAGCGAAACTTGGGGAGCATGTTCTCTGTGCTAGGCAATTAATTGCTGGTGTTTGGGAGCTGATCCACAAAGAGACAAGAAGACATGTTTTCTGCCCACATAGAGTTAGAGGGGAAGTGAAAGGGTGGAAGTGACAAGCACAAGGTCATCCATGCAGAGATACTCAAAGTGAGGTCTACAAACCCTCATTGGAGCCTGCTAAAAATGTAAATTCCCTGGCCCCATCATAGACCTCTAGAGTCAGTATCTCTGACACTGGGGCCCCATAGTTTGTGCCTCAAATTTGAGAAGCACTTATTTATAGGAGTGCAAAGAGTGAGTGCCACAGGTGTTCAGAAGGTGATAAACTCATCCAGGAAATCTTCACCAGGGACATGTGCTCTGAGCCTTGTCTTCAAGGATGGGCAGGAGTCAGAGGCTATTCCCAGGGGGCAGACGGCACCGTACTATCCCATTGTACTGTAATTGCACCTTACTCGTATGCCCATGTCTGCTCCTTCTCACCCTACCCCCTTAAACTGGGAGAGGCCACAATGAATGAGAGGATGAGTTATGGTTGTTAGGGCTTCAGCATGGTTGTTTAGGAGACAAAAGAGAGCCAGTCCTGTTAATATTACAGGTTTATGCTGAGACCAGATAAGTGTGGGTAAATAAAATAGAGCCAAATTGCCAAAAAGCTTAAGTGTGAGACTGTAAGGTTTGGACTTTGGCCTTCGGATATAAGGCTGGGTGGAGTGGCTCACGCCTGTAATCCCAGCACTTTGGGAGGCCAAGGCAGACTGATCACCTGAGGTCGGGAGTTCCACACCAGCCTGACCAACGTGGAAAAACCCTGTCTCTAATAAAAATGCAAAATTAGCCAGGAGTGGTGGTTCATGTCTGTCATCCCAGCTACTCAGGAGGCTGAGGCACGAGAATCACTTGAACCTAGGAGGCAGAGGTTGCAGTGAGCTGAGATCATGCTACTGTACTCCAGCCTGGGCAACAAGAGTGAAACTCTGTCTCAAAAAAAAAAAAAAAAAAGATATAAGGGAAAATTTGAATTTATTGGGGCAGGGGAATGACATAAATACAGCAATCTTTTAGGAAGAGGTACCTGAATTTTAAAAAGAGTGGGACTGAAAGACACAGGCAGCAGGGACTGTCACAACAGTCTAGGTGTGAGGCCCTCTATGACAAGGAGGGCATGAGGCTATGATAAGATGGAAAGAGAAAGGAAGGGCAGGATGCAGAGAACATGCCAAGGCAGGTGGGCAGGACTTGGTGACACTGGTGTGAAGGGAAGGGAAGAAGGCATCAAAGATAGTTTTGTTCTCATCTGGGATGAACTGGAGGATAACAAGACTATGGGAATAGGAAAAGTGGCAGGAGAGAATGGCTTATAGTATTGGTATACAAATTTATGTGTTTGTTTATTCATTACAGGGTCTCTGTCTGTTGCCTATGCTGGAGTACAGGAGCATCATCATAGCTCCTGGGCTCAAGTGATCCTCCCGCCTCAGCCTCCCGACTAACTGGGAGTACAGGTGCATGCCACAGGCCCAGCTGATTTTTTTCAAATTGTTTGTAGGGGCAGAGTCTCGCTATGTTGCCCAGGATGGTCTCCAACTTCTAGGCTCAAGTGATACTTCAACCTTAGCCTCCCATTAGCTTGTTCCTTATAGCAATTCCTGCACTATATGAAAGACCTTTACTTCAGTGAGCTGTGACTGCACTAGTGCAGTCTCCAGCCTGTCAGAGGGTGACAGATACCCTGTCTCTAAAAAAGAAAGAAAAGGCTAGGAGCGGTGGCTCATGCCTATAATCCCAGCACTTTGGGAGGCCGAGGCGGGTGGATCATGAGGTCAAGAGATCAAGACCATCCTGGTCAACAAGGTGAAACCCCGTCTCTACTAAAAATACAAAAATTAGCTGGGCATGGTGGTGCGCACCTGTAGTCCCAGCTACTCGGGAGACTGAGGCAGGAGAATTGCTTGAACCCAGAAGGCGGAGGTTGTGGTGAGCCGAGGTCGTGCCATTGCACTCCAGTCTGGGTAACAACAGCGAAACTCCATCTCAAAAAAAAAAAAAAAGATCTTTATCATTCACAGTGTCTAGCAGAAGACGCGGGGCTGAAAGGTTAACACACTGGCTAGGTAGAAAGCTAGTAAGTTAAGACCTATTTTATCCTTGTTCTTCCTACTGTGCCATTTGTCTTGGGGAAGAAGAGTTGATCACAAGTATCCTTATTCCATTCTCCCATTACACCTTCGGATACCTCCCTTACTATACCTGTAATGTATTACAACTGTTTTTGTGTTTGTTTCCCTCATAAAACTTCAAGCTCTGGCCAGGCACAGTGGTTCATGCCTATAATCCTGGCACTTTGGGAGGTCAGGGTGGGTAAATCACCTGAGACCAGGAGTTCAAGACCAGCCTGATCAATATGGCGAAACCCCATCTCTTCCAAAAATACAAAAATTAGCCCAGTGTGGTGGTAGGCACCTGTAATCCCAGCTACTTGGGAGGTGGAGACAGGAGAATTGCTTGAACCCGTGAGGTAGAGGTTGCAGTGAGCTGCGATCATGCCCCTGCACTCCAGAGTGAGACTGTCTCAAACAAACCAACAAAACTTCAAGCTCCTAAGGACAATGTCTTTTAAATTTGATTTATTTTGCAGTCTTTGTATTATAGTAACCTATATCAATGCCAAGCTCAGAACAAACACCTAAAAAACACTGAGTGAATGAAAACATAAGCTGCAAGCATCTAAAGAGAACTGTTAATGGGCAGTTGTAAATGCAGAACTGTAGCTCTT